TTAAAAAGACATTCTCCCCTCTCAGTTATCACCATGCAGAATCTTTATGGGCTCAACAATAGTCAGAATTCTTGATTCCAGGCTGTGCACTCCAGTACTAAGTGTGTTACAGCAGTACGGTGCTATTTGCTCCTTGGCTAAGAAGTCACAGTGCCAGCTTTGGAAAGTCACCACACAGTGATTCCATAGACCACTTGGCAAGATGATTACACCAGAGCAAACAGACTTGAAAATGATTTTGGGTAACAACATTTTTGCTTCCCAGTTTCTACTAAGCAGTAGAAAACAATTTTCTGCTATCATTTTAATAAGAATTTATGCCCCTTAATCTCTGCCTCTCACTAGTCTGATAACCATGTGCTCCAAAACAGTTTAAGGATTTATTTTTTATGTGGTCCAAATGATAGCTGGTTTACTCTCTTTGTAGAAGTAGACTGAGCAGGCAGCATGGACTAGACATAGTTCAACCTGTGTTCTCTTCTTCCCCTTGTATAAATATCCAATACGCTTCATTTAAGTTGGCACTAGAGAAAATACCACATCAGCAAGATAGCACATTGTTCCTAGTGCATGCTTTCTATTTAAGCAGGTGGTTAGGTTATGTAAGTTATTTAAACTTACATGATAAAATTAGACACTGAAAATGCTTGTATTAAGGTAGAAGATAAGCAATGGGGTGGAGAGTGTCTCTAGTAAAGAAAGTTTCTTTTCATTACTAATGTACATAATGAATAAACTAACACCACTGAAATGACATCACTAATACAATGTTATTAAAACTAGCCAAGGCAGAGCAAAAATACTTAATAAAAAAAAAACAACCAAGCTTTTACAAGTCTTTAAAAGAGCAATAAAAATAGGGCTAGAAAATTTACTCATTAAAAAATCTGAATATTTAAAATACAATGTATAATACAGAACTTCACTTTGTGCAGTTAAAGTGGACCACACAACAAGTAGAAGTCTAAGGAACTTCTGGCCTTCGGATTATGTTTCAATTAAAAGGTTTGTACTCTAAGGCAGTGGGGGCCAATCTTTTTGGAAGGTGTATCACAAAGTAACCCCACACCCTCCCCAAATACCACTCAGATCCCTTTCTCCTGCTTACCTAGCTGCTCTGCTTTCCACTTCCTGGCCAGTGCTCCCTGCCCAGTCTGCTGCTCTGTTTTCTGCTCCCTGCCCTACTATTTTGCTGCCTGCCCCTCCCCAGTCTGCCAAGTGCCACACATAGACGCATCTGTATCACTTCCGGCCCCAAATGCCGCAAGTTAGCCACCTCTTAGAAGTGAATTAAAAATAAAAATATCCAATGCACCTCACTTAAGCCAACACTAGGGAAAATATCACATCAGGGAGCTGGAACATGTTTCCTTGTGCAAGCAGGTGGGGAAGCTTATATGACAAAGCAGAAGTACTACATGTCACATCTGTTACATAATTAAGTTCCCAGTCCTTTACAGCTGGCATCCATTCTGAAAAAGAAAGAATAGAAATGCAGGTAATCTCACAACAGAAGGAACTGGGGTCTTTCTGCTGAGGCGACACAGCTAAGAGGATCACATCAGGTCCAGCTGCAGCAGATGTAAAGAAACATTACTTTGACATTAAAGGGACACCAGAACTCCTAGATATCACTACAGCTACAGTGGAAAAGTCCTCTGAGGAACAGCAGCTCAGGTGCCGTATGTGCTTAAAAGTTTGTCCGCAGAGTATCACATTTTCTTAATTAAGAGTGCATGTATACTGCAGTCGCCTTTTGTGCAGGGTGACATTAACCTCTGCTGAGCAGTGAGGGACTATGGCTAGATTAGTAGCACCTAAGCAACCTAGCTTAAAGTCAGCTCACACTTGTCTCTAGCACTGCAGTCATCTTTGTGACCATAGTGGTGTAGTCTACTTTGAAAGCCAAAGCACCCTATCCTGAGAGAGGAGGAAACCATCTTTCCCAAAGTGTCAGGCAAAATGCTAGATCAGGGGTGGGCAATTATTTTGGCTGGAGGGCCACTTAATGACTTTTGGTGAGCTGTTGAAAGTTGCAAGGGTAGCCCCATCCTTTGATAGGTGCCCTGCCCCACTTGGGACCAGAAGTCCTACCCCTAACCCCAGACCTTTGCTGCCAGAAGTCCCTCCCCTTTCCCCCAGAAGTACTTCTTTGGGTGGGAGGGGAGAGGTTGCCATCTTGGAACCAGAAAAAAAAAAAATCATATAATAAAAACAAAAAACACCCCCCCAAACATCTGCTATAATATATTTTATTTTAAAAAATATTTTTGTCCTGATTTATGTGCGTTTGCGCAGTGTATTGAGAGGCGATTACATAAAACTTCACAACAGTATTACTGTTGCATATTGTGTGTGCGGGGTGTATGGGTGGGGTTTATGGAGGGGGTGGGTGTGGGGTTTTTGGGGCCCCCCACCACACCCCCTTCCCACTTCCATGGTGTACAGCCCCTACTGCCAGTGGCAGCAGGAGCAATGGGCAGCAGGCCCTTGGGGCCCACAGCAGACAGAGTCCCCTGGCAGTACACAGCTCCAGCTGGGAGCTGCACGTGGTAGCATGGAGCTGGCACAGGTGAATGGTGCATGCCTGTGAACCAAATCAGCCTGGCTCCATGCCAGTACACAGGGCTCATGGCACTGCCAGTGGGATCTGTGCGCCAGGTCAAGCCAGCTCTCTGCTTCCATGGAGTGCTTCCAGCACTTCAGTGGGGAAACCTCACATGGCAGCATGTAGCTCGCCTGGCCCGACAGTGCAGAGTGGGAGTCCCACACTATTGGGCCAGGCAGGCTCTGTGCTGCCATGTGGAGCTCCCAGTACTGCAGCCAGGAGTGTGCACCACCCGGCTGGCTCTGTGCCTCCACATGCGGTTCCCCACTGGAGTGCTGGAATCCCCACCGGGAGGCACAGAGCTGGCCTGGTCCAGCGGCATACAACTCTCACCTGCAGTGCCAGGAACCCCACATGGTGGCATGGAGCCAGCCCAGTCTGGGTTAAAGGCGCATGCCAGTGGGCTGGGCCGGCTCTATGCCACCACGTGCAGCCCCTGAAACTCAGTTGGAGCCGTGCACCACCGCAGCTGGAGCTATATGCTGCTGAGGGCCTCTGCCTGCCATAGGCCATGAGCACCCCGAAGGCATGCTACCTGCTGCTGCTGCCAGCAGTGGGGGCTGTACAGCATGGGGGGGGGGGGG